AGTAATATTTCATTGTACATTTAATTTGCAATTTCCTTATGACTAATGATATGGAGCAATGTTTAAAGTGCTAATTGGCCATCTGGATCTCCTCATTTGTGAAGCGTTTGTTCATCTTTCTCTATTTTCTTATTGGGTTGTGTGCCCTTTTATTATTGATTTGTAGGAGTTCTTTGTATATTCTGGATACTAGCCATTTCTTGGATATATAGATTGCAAACATGTTCTTCCATTCTGTGGCTTGCCTTTTTACTCTCTTAATAGTGATTCTAATGAAGAGAATATCTTCATTTTAATGACCACTAATTTATCAATTTTCATTATGGTTAGTGCTTTTAGTTCTCTGTTTAAGAAATGCTTGCCTACCCCAACCTGATGAGGGGCATCTATAAAAACCCAAAACTAACATTGTACTTAATGGTGAAAAGCTGAATGCTTTTTCCTTGAGATCAAGAACAATACTAGATGTTGCTTCTCACCACTTCTATTAAACATTGTACTGGAAATTCTAGCCAGGACAGTTAGGCAAGAAAATAAAATAAAATGCATCCAGATTGGAAAAGAAGTAAAAGTACATCTATTTGCAGATGATATGATCCTGTATATAGAAAAGCATAAGGAATCCACTGAAAAAACTACTAGAGCTAGTAAATGTATTCAGCAATGCTCTAGAATACAAGGTTAATATTCAAAAATCAACTTTATTTCTAAACATTACAGATGAGCAAAATGAAAATTAAATTAAGAAAACAATTTCATTTGCAAAACCATCAAAAAGAATAAAGATTAAAATACGTAGGAATAAATTCAATGAAAGGCACACAAAACTTTTGCTCTTAGAACTACAAAACACTAATGAAAGCAATTAAGAAGCACTAAATGTTGTTACTGAGCACCAAAGTTGGAGGCCTCACACTTCTTGATTTAAAAACTTACTGGAAAACTATGTTAATCAAGACATTGTGGTACTGGCATAAGGATAGATATATAGATCAATGGAATAGAATTGAGAGTCCAAAGATGAATCCTCACATTTATGGACCAATTTAGAAAATCATAGTCTTTTCAACAGATGGTGCTGGGAAAGCTGGATATCCATATGCAAAACAATAAAGTTGGACTCCTACATCACACTATAATGTTAATACAAAAATTAACTCCAAATGGTCAAAGATTTAAATGTAAAAATTAAAACTTTAGAACTCTTAGAAGAAAGTACAGAGGAAAAGTCTTCATGGTGTTGAATTTAGCAAAGATTTCTTAGATATGGCACCAAAAGCATAGGTATGAAACAAAAAGATAAATGGACTACATTAAAATTAAAACATTTTAAAATCAAAGACACTATCAGCAAAGTGAAAAGGCAACCCATAGAATGGGAGAAAAATATTTATAAACACAATTCAAAAATGGGCAAAATACTTAACTAGACATTTCCCCAAGGAAGATATACAAATAGCCTGTAAGCACATGAAAAGATACTCAACAACACTAGTCATTAGAGAAATGCAAATGAAAACAACAAAGAGATACACTCACACTAATTAGGATAGCTAGCTATTATGAAAGAAAGGGAGGGAAGGAGGAAAGAAGGAAGGAAAATAAAGGAAAGGAAAGGAACTAATGATAGCAAGGATATAGAGAAATTGAAAGCCTTGTGCATTGCTGGTGGGAATGTAAAATGTGCAACCACTTGAAAAAGTCTGATTGTTCTTCAAAAAGTTAAACATAGAAGTACCATATCCAGCAATTCCATTTCTGGGTATATTTTCAAAAGAATTGAAAGCAGGAACTCAAACAAATAACTTGTATACCAATATTCATTGCAGCATTATTGTCAATTGGCAAAAGGTGGAAACAATCCAAAAGTCCAACAACGGATAGACAAAATGTGGTATATACATACAATGCAATAATATTCGACCTTTAAAAAGAATGCAATTCTGACACATGCTACAACATAGATGAACTTTAAAAACATTATGCTCTGTGAAATAAGCTAGACACAAAAGTGAAAACACTCTATGAGTCCACTTATAAGATGTACCTAAAGTCAAATTTGTAGAGGCAGAAAGTGGAATAGAGATTACCATGGGTTGAGAGAGGGAGAAATGGAGAATTTGGGTTTAATGGATACAGAGTGTCTGGGATAATGAAAAGCGTTTGGAAATGGATAATGGTGATGGCTATACAACATTGCAGATATATTTAATGTCATTGAATTGTATACTTAAAAATGGTTAAAATAGGAAATTTTGTTATCTATATTTTATCACAATAAATATAAAGCAGTTAGACTTCCAGTTCCCTCATTCTGAGCAGCTATATAGATGCTCCCCACCCCAGATGATGACTGGAAGTAATTATCTGGAGGAAGTCCAAAAGGCTCTCTAGACTGGAAGGTACAAAGCACAATTGAGGGCAAGACCACCATATTGAAATGGGGGAATTTCACGAATACTTATATACTTCATGTTGACTCTTCAGTTCTCCTACTCATTTCCCAGGGTGCTGGCACCAGACTGATACCCTCCAGCAGGAGGACTGGAGTTACCCCATGGGGAATCAGAGCAGTTCAAGAGATAAGATTTTAAAGTACTGACATCAGGGGTTCCTCAACTAAACAGCCCAAACAGATTACCCACCAGTAAGTCTCACCTGTATGCCTAGATTCTTATTCTTCAGTACTAGATAGGGCAAGAAAGTCAAGGATCACATGAAAATTGAGGAAAGCTAAGAGACCAAAACAAACAGGAACAGGTAAATTAGAGGAAGCAGCATTATACAAGGAGAAAATTAAGTTGGAAATGAAAAATATCACTAATATTCTCAGAGAGATATTACATCCATGATATAAGGCCAAGGTGTTATATGAAAAAGAATATTTAGAGAGCTCTGAGAAGTTAAAAACATGATATCAGAAATGAAAAATAGAACATTTAAAAAATAGTTTTGAGGAATTATCCCAGAAAATAGTGCAAAAATACAGATATAAAATAGGAAAAAAAATATTTCTCCTGATCAGAGAAATCAGGATAGTTAGCATACCAATAACAGGAGTCCCAGAGAGAACAGAGAAAACAAAGAAATTGCAATGATTCAAGAAAAATTCTCTAAAATGAAGGACATGAGTTTCTAGGTTGAAATGATCTGATGTCTGTCTAGTAAAATGGTTGAAAATTTGGCCCACATCAAGTTGTAACATCATGAAATTTCAGAACACAGAGGACAAAGAAAAGATCCTCCAAGTTACTAGAAAGAAAAAAAACTGGTCCTAGACCAGGGTTCTGGAATAGAATGGCAGCAGAATTCTGTGGCAGCAGTGAATGCCAGAAGACAAAAGGTGCAATGACTTTAAAATTCTGAAGAAGAATGATTTTCTATATCCAGAGTTCCTTATACAGTTAGAGCTCCACTTTAGTAGACAGTAAAATAAAGACTCTTGGAAACCTGTAAGGATTTAGACATTTTATCTCCCATAAATCATTTCTTAAAGGGCTACTGGAGACATGCTCTACCAAATGAGTAAATAAACTAAGAAAGAAAAAGATGAGTTCCATAAATAAGGGATCCAACACAAGAGAGAGGCATGATGGTGAAGCGAAATCCTTATACAACAGCTGTGCAACCACTGTTCTAGAGAGCATCCAGTGCAGACTGGAGCAGATCAGAAGTCTCTCTAGAAGGGCCTTTTTAGAAAAGATGATAGAATTCCTCATATGTTCGAACATAGTAAGAGATTTACACAAGGATAAAAAGAGTTTGGAAATTAATTTGTGATAAGGACATTAAAAATCAAGCAAATTAGAAAAACAAGGAAATTATTAACTCCAGGTAATTCTGAGGTCATGAAGAGAGAATAAGTGACCATATATTACATAACTCAGCTATGACTAGAGTTTACACAGTCATAGCAATGTAAATGCTCCAGCCAAAATTTTATCTTATCATTATTAGTTTGAAAGGGTAATAAGTAGATGTGAGGTGATAAGCATGAGAGTTAAATTATCATCTTCCACAGTAGGAAATCGACATATAATACCTAAAATAGAAAAATGTAAAAAGCAGCAAAATCAGCATTTGATTATATGGTTGTAAATAGTGAATTATCAGCCAAAAGAGGTGAAAGTGGTTGCCTCTGGCATGAAATGAAGGCAGATAGGGTCCCCTGAATTTGATAATGAGTCTTGTAGAATTATTTAACTCTGAAAAGTAATGCACAATTAGCTTTCATAAATTAACACAACATAATTCACTTTTTTAAATGGCTGCAAAAACGAAACAAAAGCAACCTCATAATCCAAACAAACTCTAGATTTTTCCCATTTGCTATTCAAATCAAATTTTTCTGAATTTAATTTCCTCATGAAATTTATTATACGGATTGAAATAGATTGTGAATACAAACGTGCTTGAAAACTACAAGAATTGTTTAATAATCAATAATAATAACTTACAATCCAAACGCTGAGAATCCTCAACATTCCTGTGTTCGATCACGTTGTGTGTGTAGCAAAGAACAGGACACAACAAGCGGAACACGGCGTGAAACCAGCGACCTTACCTTGAACTCACCTTTTCAGTTCCTGCTCCCCGCCCCTACCTGTTCCAGGTGGTGATCTATTCTTTGGGCTTTAGTGTCAGACTTTTCTGAATTCGGATTCCGGCTTGCGCCACTTCCTAGCTGTATGACCTCAGACAATTTCCTTAGCTTTTGTGAATCTCATTTTTCCTAGAATAGTAAAGTCTCTCTTGCGAAATTGGTGTGAGGAACAAAATAGAGGTTAATGGCAGGTCCTTTGCTTTGGTCAGTTACTAATAGCAGCTTCCTCACTTCAGCGCCTTCTTGGGCGCGCGGGACACCTGAGGCAGGCGAGAAGCCGGCTGAGAGCTGCTGGGGGCGGGGAGGATCCATAGTCACCATGGCGACCGGAGACGCCTCGCATTCTCTGGCCGCCGCCAGTGGAGCAGAGAAGGCCAGCCGCGAAGACCGCTCCGGAATGAGAGGGGAGGACGCGATAGTGGTGACTACCGTGGCTGCTCCCGAGGCGGGCCGCGACGCGGAGCAGCCTCGGCAACTGACCCAGCTGGGGTGCGGGACGCGCGTAGAGCCGGGCGTCGGCAGCCCACAGGAGTCCCGCAAACCGTGTGAGTTTCCCTCCAACCTGCGCAGAGGGAGGTGCGATGTGGAGAACGCGTGAAAGGGGAATCGAGGGAGAACCGGTAGAAGAGGAAACTTGGGGAAACCGGAAACTTAAGCCGCAAAGGTTTTGGAGGGAGGGGTTGAAGCTGCCGTATTGGCAGAGGCAGAGGTGATGGCATGGTGGCAGAAAGAATCCGGTCCATTTTCCCAAGCTTTCCTTCACTAAACGCTACCTGAGCCCAGGTAGCCTCCGACTTAATTGGTAGTGGCGTCGGCCTAGAAGGTATTGAAACAAATTGTATATATGAATATATAAAAATTTATAAAAATACGAAATTATAAAAAGGTATATATAATATAAATTTAAATTTCATATACAATAAAATATAT